ATTCATCGTGCTAACATAGCTGTCGCTGTTAGGCTGAGGATCCCGATGCTTGGCGCACGTCACTGATATCAAGAACGATAGGGAGATCAAGCTAAGTGACACCGACCTCAGGATCATACAGTGAGATCAGCCGTAGTCAACTGGCCGCCTGCCATTCAATGCCGACCTCAGGCGTATCCGGAAGGGCTTTTTCCCTACTGGTCGTGGTGATGGCGATGAGGATGAGGAATTCCAGGTAGGGTGGTGAGGTGTCTAGGAGTAGTAACCAAGGCTAATCATGGTAGGTTGAGTATGAAGACCGTATAGAAGACAAAATTCACCCAATGAGGACTCGATACCCCTCGAAGAAGTCGTTCATGCCGGACCAAGACGAGGCCCGTAAGGTCAAGAGATTGATCAAGCTCATAAGGGCGGGAATTATCAAGTCTAAGGAGGAGAAGCCTGCGAAGGAGGATGTATTTCATACCGCTCCTCGACGAAATCACTACTTAATAAAAAGGCTGTGTATTAGCATAACCATCTCCAGAGTAACCGCCAGTGATGAAAATACCAAGGACTGCGATAAAGGATGATGCGATCATTATAATAAAGCCAACTACCTGAAAGTAAAAGTCGACTGGATGCTGGTAATAACTCTACCAGCCATGATCGGGCACATATGTCTACTACACCATATGGCACCGGAAGCCATGGAAAAGCCACTGTTGGTATATATGTTCGCTCTCCTCAGCTGAGCTCAAGAGTTTCCTCGCTTATTACACAAGCATATATCGTATCCAACTGCGTATATAAACTGTATACTAATTCAGATAGAAGTTTTCAGAATCCGACAAGAAATTTCCAAAACATCCTCAAACCCTTCATGTTGTGACTGACACATGTAGTTGACCATGTGCATAATTTTCCATCCTAGTTAGAAGTTGTCCCTTACCAAACACAACATGGTGAAATCATTGAGTTATAGGGTCTCGAACGTTTTGTCAAAACTTTGTGGAAAGTAATAAGAAGCCGCAATGCTTTGTAAGATGAGAAATCCCTAAATTTCGTTGTTAGCAAAGAGCGGCTAAGGGGAACAAATAGTTGTCGCATGATGAAAGTGAGTGATTGGAATATAATCATTGGATATAATAGATGGTCAAGACGTTTTTCTACGGATCGTGATCATACTAGAATTACTGATCTTTACTGGGACTTATACCGGAGGTTCCGGTCCGGAGCTTATCATGAAACTTCATAATCGGAACATACATGTACTCGAGTATGCTGCATTGACCTGAAAAGGACGACTGTGGATGTCATAATGAATGTCTAAGCTCACCGTAACCGGAAACTCCTCGCTTCAAGTAAAAGTACCCAGCCATACCCCAGGAAGTTCCCCAAGAATTTCTGCCGATGAAATAACTGACAAAAAAAGTTGCGGTAAGCATCCATACGGTGCCCTATTCTTACTCTCCTCCAACTACGCTGCCATAACCAACCATCACAA